CACACAGAAACACACACAGACACACACACACACACACACACACACACACAGAGCTGCCCTGGCCTAAAAGCACTATATAAAACCAATGTATTATTATTATCATTATTCATATTTTTTATTATTATTATTATAGTCACGGAGACAGAGACCCCAACACCCGCCTACACTTCACCTGAAGATGATGACGGTGAGAACATAATTATTATTATTTTTTAACAACTTTGTACACACGTTATTAAAACCTCTAACTGTACGTACATATTACATACTGTTTATTTAATTAAAACGCTAATAATCATCTTTTTCTTTCTGCTTCATTTCAGAAGAAGAAACACCTCCGACTACCGGACCCTGTGAGGACTATATTTAAACATATTTTTTATTATTTAAAATGATTTCAGTCACCGCTCACCTTTCTCCAATATATATTTGTTTTGATCATTAATCTTCTTTCTTTTGTTTTTTTCGTATTCCTAAAAGAATGAAACTACAAGAACTTTAGCATAAGTTTTATTGAAAATTACCTTTTATTTTGTTGAAATGCTAATGCTAACTGATAGCCAGTTAACAGTAGGTTGCTATGGTTACTATCGCTTGCTCTTCTCTACTTCTCTGCTCCATTTCAAAATTAAACTTCCTGTTAGAAGTTAGCATTAGCTTAGCGTTAGCATTAGCAGTTTTAGCACGTAGTAAAAGTGAGTAAAGATAAAACAAAACCTTACAAATTACATTATTTTGATGAATCTGGTGAAAAATTAAACATATTCAGAACTCAGAACTGGCGTTAAGCTTGTTATGGTAAATCCTCAGACAACGACGTTATGGACAGTGTCTTTTAAATCTTAATTAAAGCCGCAAGCGGCGATGAAAGGCCTCGCCCCTCTTGCGACCGCCTCCTGGGCGCCGGTCCCACAAGCGTCACGCCGACGAATTGGCAGCCCGATCTGACCAGGATTACGTACATAAAAGCTAATTTATATGATAAAGTGCGTCCCTAGTGGTCACCTCCGGGACATGCACCCTCTACGTAGAGTAGTATTTTGCTCGTACAGATGTAAAGATTTGATTTTGCAACTTTGGTGAAGATCGGAAAAGTTTAGGTCAGAAGCCTTACATAGGTGGCGCTGTAGAGTCATATTAGGTGTGTGTTTTCACACCATTACTCTCAGGTCATTACCAACTGTTAGTGATGTGAGTTTCAGCTCTGTAGGTCTGAGCCTGTGGTCAGGAGAGCATCAAACATGGAGAAATTCCCCACTACCTCGCATGAAAACGATAACAAAATTCTAACTTTTATGCAGTGATTGCATAACTTCAATCCGTCCAGATGGATAAATGACATGGTAGAATTCTGTGCGATGAAAATCCAGGGACTAGTACGAAGCCAAAAATGCAACACCTTGAACTGCCTTTAGGTGGCGCTTTTGCACTCACAGTTGTGTGTTGTATATCGTTGTGTTCAGGGTCATACGCTGTATTTCTGAAATAATTTTTAGCCTCATCGGACAAACATTTTGCCCTAAAAAGCTCATGTATTCATTTTCTGGCACCCCCAGTGGTCAGGTGTGGGACGTACAACTTTTGCGTAATGTAATGTTTTGCTCGTCTCGGTCCAGAGAATACACTCAGCGATTTTCGGGCCGATCCGAGCACTAGTGCCCTATTACTTTCCGACAGGTGGCGCTAAAGAGCTCAAATTGGGCGAATGATTTTAGTGTCATTGCGTTCAGGCCATAACTTAATATTACTGATGTGAGTCTCAGCTCTGTAGGTCTGAGCCTGTGGCCCTCAGGGCTCAGCGAAAATGGCCAAAACGAAGGCATTATTCGCCATGGCGAGGGACAAAAACGGTGAAAATTTTCTAACTTGTTTTTGATGATTATATAACTTCAATCCGTCCAGATTAGGAAATGACGTGGTAGAACTCTGTGTGATGAAAAACCAGGGACTAGTTCGAATTTATAAATGAAAAGTCAAATTAGCGGCAAAACTTACGCCCATCATGGCCGACTTCCTGTTGGTCCCAGACATGTGCTTAGAACGGCTTTTATGCTCGTCTCATAGAGATCTATCACTCATCCGAATTTCGTGTACCTACTCCAAAATATGCAATCCTGCCTCCAATAGAAATGGAAAAATTTGAATTTTCAAGGGGGCGCTATTGATTCGCCTTTTGTCGGACAATCTGGAAACGTCCGTTTTATCAAATTTTTCGCCGGACCGGTCGTTTTAGACCCCCCATGTGCAGACTTTCGTGCATGTCTTCAGGGTCAAAAATCGAATTGAAGATGCGGAAAAAGAATAATAATATGAAACCGGTGAATAACAATAGGCCTCCCCAATACTTTGTATTGGCTCGGCCTAATTATTGCCCATGAAAATAAGCTGTTTGAAACTCTCTGGTTAATTAAGTAATTTCCATCCGTGGCGTTGATCGCGCCGCATTGGATATAAATTATAAAAACAAATGTACTTTATAATCTGTGTTAATTTGCCGATTGTCCATTTCATTTCAGACATTGAAACACCATCGACCACTCCAGAGATATCCATCAAACCCAAATGTGAGATTTGTTTTTATTTTTTATTAAAACTTCACAACGTTAATAGTACATTCGTAAATTTTTCGTTTTCACTTTCCATTTGAAAGTATGTATTTTTTGTATTTTTTCTATATATTGATGGTAATTTTAAGGTGTTTTTCTTCTTTTTTTTAACCCTGGTTACAAACATTTTTCAGTGTGGAAACCATGGCTTGAGTTCCTTCAGTTTTGACTATACACATGCGTTTACACAATTTTATTTTTATTCAAACTTTTATTAAAATAGTTTACACTTAGTATTGTCCTGGTTTAAGATCTATATCTCTTTGCTTTAGCTGGGTTCAAGGCATCTGTTAAGCCAAGTTTTTTTTAACCACTTTTACTAATTTTTAACCAGTTCAATGTAAGTTAAATTCACAAAAACAAATTGAAGGCCTATTTTCTCTAAAATGTATGTCTAAAATTCAATTCAATCTCTGTTTAAGAACCCTTTAAAATAATCTGTATTCTCAACACTAGCTTCAGATAACTACGAATCATACGTGGCAAAAATCTCTCATCATTCATTTCCTCCTGGACAAACTATAAACGAGACTTTTTCAGCAGTTGCTACGGCGACATCCATGGAATGTTGATGCATGGGTGCACACAGACAGACAGACGTTACTTGCATTTATAGATAGATGTTTTCTTGTTTTTAAATGTCATTGTCCTCTATCTTTGCTGAAATTTCAGAGCTCCACCTGTTCTTATTTTTTGCAAGGAAAGAACAAGAACCAGGATGCTATGAACCAAAAAGCCAACCGTTCCACTCAGCTGGACTGATTTTATTGTGACGTTGAGAGTTGCTAATGCAGACTCCTGTAGCACCTTAACCTTACACAGGAATATCTGGGGTGATAAAAACCTGGTTAGCAGTTGCTTTGAGCGAAGAGATAGACCTGTTCTAGACCTGAGTTTGTCCTGTTCTTATGGTATGGTCTGGTGTTGATTCTACAGACTGCTGGACCCCGTGGTTCGACAGAGACGATCCTTCTGGTAAAGGAGACTATGAGACTATTTACCATCTGCGAAAGGAAAACCCTGGAAAGATCTGCGACAAACCTCATGGCATGCAGGTCCAGACCATCTCAGGACTGCCAGCCTCCTCCACCGGGAACAGCTTTTACAAGTCAGTAGATGTTTACATTTACTTTTAGACTTTGTTTCTGGTTCTGCGATCTAAAGCCCTTTCCAATACACAATGTTGATCTTCTTACTCTGGCTGAGCATTACGCTATAAGTAACAATAATAATAATAGTTTTATACTGCGGTTTATATTCATTATTAATTCTCTACGTACTACTGTAGCCACGGCTGCCTTGGGGCACAATGACCAGTATTTGCCATCCACCCACCAACCACTCACACACACACCAGACTGATTCTAAGCAATGTAAAAAAGGAAACAGCTACAAGTTGGCCCTTTACAACCACAATCGCCAAACTGTAGCACCAGAGGTCTCCCATCACGGTACTACCCAGGCCCTGGTTAGTGCTGCAGGGTGTAGTAAGTAGTGTGTTCCAGTTGTACTCTCTAAGAAACCTTTGAAAATCCAAAATGGCAGCGCGGTGTGTTTTTTTTTCAAGTTAAGATCAATTACTTCCAGTTATTTTCTCTTTAGTCGTTCTCCACTGTTTGTAATTATAATTATTTATTTATATTAATTTATTTATTTGACAGGGACATTGCAACTCAACACAGAACAAAACAAGCCTGTAACTGATGCGATGCAAAAAGAATTTATACCTATTGCTAATGTTCAACTACTACCTATTTTGCGCTTCAGTCGTTGCAGCTAAAAATTACAGATGCTAATGTTGCTAACTATAAACTTGGCTGCAGAGGGAACTGTAGCAGCTTAGCATGTAGCATGTAGCATGTTGTTGAAAATAACAACGCTTTTTTGCCAAAAAAAAAATACCTTTGCGTGTTTTTCCAGGAACGACCTAACCACAGGATTCATCTGTAGAAACAGAGACCAGAAGAACGGTCGCTGTCTGGACTATAAGGTCCGCTTCTGGTGTCCCTGCGTACCAGGTGAGCGCCACAATGGACTGTGCAATACAAATATACTTTTTGCCATTTCTGTAAAAAACTAGTGCTGTCCAACGATTAAAATATTTAATCGCGATTAATCGCATGAATTTCATAGTTAACTCGCGATTAATCGCAAATTAGTCACCCATTTGCGTGCTGTGTGCAATTTCTTTTTTTATTGAAAACAATGTATAGTGTTATATTACACACTAACATTTGATGCAAAATCATCAATAAATGGATGACAAAATAAATAATTGGTAACAAAAAGCCCCTTCAATGTGTGTGTGTGTGTGTGTGGAGTGTGTGTGTTTATGGGTGTGGGTGTGTGTGTGTGTGTGTGTGTGTGGTGTGTGTGTGTATGTGTGGGTATAGACCATAGACTGTATAGAAACATCATGGTGTCATTATGATGATGATAAACAATTTTTTTGTAAATTTGTTCATGTAAATACTCTATAGTGTTTCTCTGTTTACTTTCGGTATATCTATGACTGTATACTGTTTGCTTGTATTGCCTTTTTTATTAACCCCTCCCCCCCATCTCCCACTTCATGTCCCCCCCCCCCCCTCCTATGTGCCCTTCTGGGTTTCTTCTTTGGCCCCCTGTATCTCCAACTACATATTGTTTGTAATCTCTGTCTACAATGTATCTTAACTAGTCCTTTTCTTTGTGTCTATTTTTTTTCTGTATATGTGTTTGTCTGCAATAAAAAGTAAAAAAAAAAAAAAAAAAAAAAAAAAATTTTTTTTTTTTTTTTTTTTTTTAATAATTATAAAAAAAAATAATGGCGATAAAAAAATGACGCCGTTAATATTGATTTGCGTTAACGCGTTAATAACGCGATATTTTGGACAGCACTATAAAAAACATAACAAAAATACAGATCTAAATTTGAAAAAGTTTGGAGATCTTTGATACAGTGTAGACCATAAGAATCACCTTTAAAACTCTGGTCCCATGTACTAAATACTACCTTGTTATGGTCGCAGAGTGCTGGACTCAGTGGTTCGATGTAGACGATCCCACCGGAACTGGAGACTGGGAAACTCTCACCTTCTTACGCCTTCATTATCCTGGAAAAATCTGTAAACGTCCGCTGGAGATCGAGGCCCAGACCACGGCAGGAGTTCCAGCTGCTGCTACGGGACAGAACTTCTACAGGTAACGAGTAAAAGTGGTGCTACAATAAGACATGATGATTATTGATCCAAATCAGAACTTGCATTATAAATACTAGGAAGTCACAAACAAGGTGCATTTAAGAATGACTGCTACACTGTCAAAAACTGATCAAACAGGAAGTAATAAATGTTTGAAGCGATTTGTTTTCATCTTAAATTAAGCACATTCTGACAAGATTCTCCAAACCTGTTTTAAGACTAGAATTTGCTTTAATTAAGATGCATTTAGCCACATTTGAGCAATTTCTGACTTATTTGTCATCACTTTTCCAGAGCATACACAAGTGCACTTAGAGGCTGAGCAGAATTTATACATTTAATAATATGAAGAACATAAATCGCAATATTGCGTAGAATAGAATCGTAATACTTTCTGTATCGCAATATGTTAAGAATCGCAATAATATTGAATTGTGTCCCAAATATCGTCCCATTTTTGCCACTTCCCGCCCCTACCACATGGGGGTGTTTTACGTCTTTTCCTTAAGATCAAACAACACATGAAAAAGCACAATTATTTCAGTCAAAAATCTCAGCTTTTTGGGTTTCATGACAGTCTCCTCTCTGGTTTTTCACACCATATCCGGAGATAAAGGAACTGTTTTGTTGTGTTTTGTTATAGAATCGACACAGATGTAGGATTAATCTGCAGAAACCATGAGCAGAAGATTCATCGGCAGTGCTTCGACTACCGCGTTCGCTTCAGGTGTCCCTACGAGTTCTGCTATCCTCAACGTGAGTTCACTTCAAACCGTTCAAGAAGAAGAACACAAGAATGATAAAAAAACACAGAGACATTGGTCCATACGAGCTGGATTTGCCCCACAAGCCTGAGTTTGACATGCCTGAGCGAGTTAGCATGTCTGTGTGAGCGTTTGGAGCTGGGTAAATGTATTAGAGACTTTTAATGTCGGGTCTCGATATTACAGCCTGCTGGACTCGCTGGTTCGACAGAGATGACCCCTCTGGCTCTGGGGACTGGGAGACTCTGTTCGCTCTTCGTGCTGAGTTCCCAGGACAGATCTGCAACTCCCCTCTGGAGATCCAAGTGCTGACGACTAGCGGGAACAGTGTGGCATCCACCGGGAACGTGATCACGGCGTAAGTTCGAGGGCTGCTAACCTCCGCTCCTCCAAATGCTCTTGTTCAAACTTTTTATAAATCCTATTATATCATCCATCGATCCATTCATTTAGATCAGATTCAGTTTCTTTGCCTTTTGCAGTAAAACCACATTGGAATACTTGTGCAAAAGTCCCCAGTGAGCACAAGTTAAGCACATTAATAAATCAGGCTAAAAAGTACAAGAAACAACTGTGAATTTGACTGATAAAGGTTTGTGGAAAGAAGCTGTTAGAATATCCAGATGTCTTGCATCTCAGCAAACGAGATATTCTGCCAGAGGGAAGAAGCTGGAACATGGCTTTTCCAGAGGACAGAAGAGTCATTGATTATTCTAATAGCTCAATTTAAGATTCTGGATTCATAAAGAACCTCCAGTTTCTCTGTTCTCTCTCTTGGGCCTTTCTCTGGTCTCTCTTTCGGGTCTCTCTCCGGTCTCAGTTTCTATGGTCTTTCTCTCCATGGTCTCTCTCAGGTCACTCTCTCTGGTTTCTCTCTCTAGTGTGTGTCTCTCTGGTCTCTCTCAATTGTCTCTCTCTGGTTCTCCTTTCTTTGGCTGTGATGTCACCAAACCAACAGGCAAACCTTCAATGCTGTGGCGATAAAAGTTACGCAGAATCTTAAAGTTTGAAGTGAATTCTCAAAGTTTCCGCAGAAATAAAAGACGGTGACGCTTTCTTAACGACCTGATGAGTGTTGCCTCTAAATAAATGTTCTTCTCTCTTCCCCACTCCATCAGTAAACTTTAAAATATCCCTTTTGTTTACTTTCCAGGAGTAACACAGCTGTTGGCTTTATCTGTGAGAACAAGAATCAGAAAAAGTGGAAGAAGTGTGCGGATTTCAAAGTGCGCTTCAGGTGCCCAGATGCGTTCTGCAGCGATGACAGTAAGTGTTGTTACAGGACCGGCCACTAGGGGGACTCTGAGTCTTTCTCACTGGTCTACAGTGGAGGTTCTACAACTTTCAGATCTTGTTATGCCTTTGGTAACAGTTTGGACCAGGCCAACGATGACTGTGATTCAACCTGGACTAAAGCTAGGACTGTAATGTTGTGATGGTCTCTTTCTCCGATCTCTCTCTGGTCTTGCTCTGGTCTCGCTCTGGTCTCTCTCTCTCCTGTTCCGCTCTTGTCTCTCACTCTCTGGTCTCCTTCGCTGTTCTCACTCTGGTCTCTCTCTGGTCTCTTTCTCTGTTCTCACTCTGGTCTCTCTCTAGTCTCTCTCTAGTCTCTCTCTCTCTCTGGGGACTATTCTGGTTCAAAAACATGTTACTTACTTTGGTCTCGAGGCCACTTCTCTGACTCTGTTCTGGGCTAAAGCTGGGACTGTGAGATGGCGGTCTCTTCCCGGTCTCAGGACTTGTGTCTTTCGTACAGTTTGCTGGACCAGCTGGTACGATCGGGACGACCCATCGGGCACCGGGGACTGGGAGCTTCTGACAGACCTGAGGAAAGAAAACCCCAACCAGATCTGTGACACCCCTCTGTACATCGACGTGAGGACGGTGGACTCCAACCAACCCATCACCCAGACGGGACAGCAGCACCACATGTGAGAGACACTTTCAGTCACACACATCTCTCATTACTGACTACTTTTACATTTCATTGTTACAAGCATAGTCCGTATAAACCACACTGGCTCCCTGTCCCTCCATAACCTGGCTCCTTTTTACCTCACTGACCTCCTCCATCATCACTGGGCCACCCGCCGCCTCAGATCCACAGACTCCAACCCCTGGATCTCACTCCCACCACACATTAGGACCTCACTACAGCACTTCAAATCTCAAAACCCACTTGTTCAAACTTTCTACACTTAACCGTTTTTAGGCTTTTTATTTTTGGTTTCTTAGTTTTCTTCTTCTCTGGTCTCTCTCTGGCCTCTCTGGTCTCTCTCTGGCCTCTCTCTGGTCTCTCTCTGGTCTCTCTCTGGTCTCTCTCTGGTCTCTCTCTGGTCTCTCTCTGGTCACTCTCTGGTCTCTCTCTCTGGTCTCTCTCTCTCTGGTCTCTCTCTCTGGTCTCTCTCTGGTCTCTCTCTGGTCTCTCTCTGATCTCTCTCTGATCTCTCCCTCTGGTCTCTCTCTGGTCACTCTCTGGTCTCTCTCTCTGGTCACTCTCTGGTCTCGCTCTCTGGTCTCTCTCTGGTCTCTCTCTCTGGTCTCTCTCTGGTCACTCTCTGGTCTCTCTCTCTGGTCTCTCTCTTGTCTCTCTCTGGTCTCTCTCTCTGGTCTCTCTCTGGTTTCTCTCTGGTCTCTCTCTGGTCTCTCTTTGGTCACTCTCTGGTCTCTCTCTCTGGTCTCTCTCTGGTCTCTCTCTCTGGTCTCTCTCTGGTCTCTCTCTGGTCACTCTCTGGTCTCTCTCTCCGGTCTCTCTCTGGTCTCTCTCTGGTCTCTCTCTCTGGTTTCTCTCTGGTCTCTCTCTGGTCACTCTCTCTGGTCTCTCTCTGGTCTCTCTCTGGTCACTCTCTGGTCTCTCTCTCTGGTCTCTCTCTGGTCTCTCTCTGGTCACTCTCTGGTCTCTCTCTCTGGTCTCTCTCTTGTCTCTCTCTGGTCTCTCTCTGGTCTCTCTCTCTGGTTTCTCTCTGGTTTCTCTCTGGTCTCTCTCTCTGGTCTCTCTCTCTGGTCTCTCTCTGGTCTCTCTCTCTGGTCTCTCTCTGGTCTCTCTCTGGTCTCTCTCTGGTCTCTCTCTGGTCTCTCTCTCTGGTCTCTCTCTGGTTTCTCTCTGGTCTCTCTCTGGTCTCTCTCTGGTCTCTCTCTGGTCACTCTCTCTGGTCTCTCTCTCTGGTCTCTCTCTCTGGTCTCTCTTTGGTCACTCTCTCTGGTCTTTTTACTTTGAGTTGCCTAGTGCATAGTGTGTGAACTGTGCTATATAAAAAAACTAGCCTAGCCTTGTCTAAACCCATATTTTTCTCTCTCTTGCGTCTGCAGCTACAGCCCGACTGAAGGGTTCGCGTGTCGAAATGATGCCCAGAAAGGATGCAGGTGCCAGGACTACAAAGTGCGCTTCGGCTGCCCCTGTAACTGCACGGTGCACCTGGAGGATCCCCTGCAGATCTACGGTCCATAATGCACTGCTGCAGATGTACAGTATCTACGACTTGGCCTTTGATTTGGGACGATCAGACCCTATCAAAAGTGTTTGTGATTTGTTTTAAATTATGAAAATAAAATGTTTTGTAATATGAACTTTTTGACTTCTTTGTTATTTAAGATTGAGATGAAGAGATTCTTTTTTTGTCCCACGGTGGGGAAATGTCAGTGCTGCAACACCAGTTACAGGACAGTAGGAATGAGGGGTATGCTAAAGTCTCTAACTTTAGCATAATAACTAAGCAAGTTTTTTAAGAACCAACTTAAAAAAGGTTTCAATTGGTAACAACTAGTACATTAAATTGTTTCAACTTTTAATTCTATATCGAACTGAACTTGTATTTTCAATCAGATAAAAGTTAAATATTCATTCAAGTTTCCCAAAATATTACTTTCTTTCAACTTTACAGCTGTAAAAACAAAAAAAAATAGTTCAAGTCAAAATTCCAGGGCAACTGTCTGCACAGGATGTTTGAGCTGCAGCATCAACTTCATTCTTTCTGTTCTGAAGAACTACAATCATGTTGTGTCAGATATGTTTTCCAAGTTCTACCTTTCATTACTATTAGAACATTCTGAAAAGATGACCCAGGGACTATATAGGGCTACTTTGGCCTGGCCTGGCCTGGCCCTGTCAATTACGGTTGGTAAAAATAAAGTGTACAGTATTTAGGCCGTAGTTGAAGCAAGGTACAAATTTACGTAAAGCAAAAGTACATTTCTCATGTTTTGACGTCAAAGGAAATATGTGGTTTCAAACAACTAAAACATGCATGACTTCACAAAAAAGTGATATATGACTTTGACCCAAAGTTCAAAATTAAGTTATATTTCACATATTTCCTTTGAATGTCAGAACATGAGAAATGTACTTTTGCTTGTTTAGGAAGATTCATCTTGTCTTCTTAGTAGAATTGAAAGTATTGGTTCTTCTATACCAGACAACATAAGATCTTTTTGGTAAACCACATATGGCTGGGCTGACTTTGCCTGGGAACAGCAGCTGGTAAAAGGCACGTGTGACGTCGCGAGACGCTTCTGAGGAAGACGGAAGTTATCCGTCGATACATGTTAAGGTAATAACACCAACAGAAAGATCTTATAGATAGATAGATATTATTTATTTCAAAACCTGCACAAACATCATCATCTCAAAAATCAACATAACAGACAAATATACAGGTGCATGGTTTGAAAAGGAGGTGGATTGAATTCCAACCCCCTCACACATTCAACACAAAGTACAGTACAAGAACCTTATACATACAGGATCATTCGTAAACAGCTGGAAACTTATACGGTACATAGAATGAACTAATACATGACATGACTACAGAGACAGGACAAAACAAGACAACACACACACACACACAACACACCACAGATACACACAACACCTCACAGACACAGGCCCAAACACTCTCTGACCCTACACCTTCACCCCTTTACTTCATGTTGAGGGCATCACTATCCTTCCTCTTTATATTTTTTTAAAACATTTTTTTTAAACAACTGTTTGAAATGAATTATGCTTGAGCAGTTTTTTAATTCATTCGGCAAGTTATTCCAAAGTTTCACTCCCCGCACTGAGATACACATTGACTTTAGAGTAGTTCTAAATGTAGGTAGATATTTAATTTGGTTTCCTCTAAGTTTGTAACTATGATGATCGTGTCTATCGTGGAATAAGTTTTGAACTTTAGGAGGCAGAGAGTTTTGAGATGCCCTGAACATAGTTTGAGCAGTTTTAAAGTTGATCACATCCTGCAGTTTGAGTTCTTCCAACTCTACAAACAGTGGATTAGAATTATGTCTGTAGTGTACACCAGAGACAATCCTAATGGCCTTTTTCTGTAGGGTAATCAAAGGCTTTAGATGGGATGCATAGCAATTTCCCCAAACTTCAACACAATAATATAGATGTGACATTATGAGTGAATGATACAGTAGGAGTCGAGCTTTGGTGTACAGTAAATTACATGTTTTGTTCATCATTCCAACACATTTGGCAACTTTTGTTCTTATATTGTCTAGTATAGAAGAACCAATACTTGTAATTGTACTTTTGCTTTACGTAAGTTTGTACCTTGCTTCAACTAGGTCCTAAATTATGAAGGTTATCTTGTGTTTTTATTATCAACACTTTTTTTTGCTTTTGAATTCTATAAACAAAAAAGTATTCAGTGTAAATAAATTCTATGTTTTAAAATTCAGTGTCCAAAATATTCAATGTTTTAAAATTCAGTGTCAAAATATTCAATGTTTTAAAATTCAGTGTCCAAAAATTCAATGTTGAAAAAAATTCAGTGTCCAAAAATTTGTTGCATTTTTTTTCGCTGCTTGAAATTTCATGCTTTATTTCCGGTTAAATGTTGAATTTACGTTTTAATTAGGACATAACATTTAATTGTATTAACATTGGAGGTGGGAAATACCCTTCTATTGTTATATCAGAGGTCTGTTTGGTGATTAAACAGATTTTCTTTGGACTTTTTCTCCAGCCTTGAGCTCCAGTGCTAACACGCTAACCACAGGTGTAGAGCTGCGCTGATGCCCAGAATGGAGCGTCATGCGCTGGGAGTCATTTTGAGAGCTCCCTTATGCTAACAGTCTTAACTGTGGAAGTAATTATGAAAACCCAAAAAGGCGTCTTTTGTATCATACAGTAGGTCCCATTTCGTTTTGTCGCCTTTCACGCGTGAATCACACGAGAGTCACGCGTCTTTTATTTATTTTTTCCCCAGTGATGCTGCAATGACCCAAACAACCACCAGGTGGCACTTGTGAGCAGGGTTAGGAAAATTGGCTTCTCATCGGTCTTTCTTCTCTGTTCACCGGACAACTTTCTGTGGCTTTATAGCTCAATGATAAGGAGGTGGACTCTGGTGTGAGAGGACTCGGGTTCAAGTACAGTCTATGACACTTTTGATTTTGTTGACGTTTACATTTTTTCTAAAACATACTTAGTAATTAGGCCAACACATTTAAAATAGTTGCTAGACTGTAGTAAACTGTTGTAAACTTCACAATCTGCACCAACCAAACTGCAGGAAAAAAATTCTACTTTATTCAGTAACGGAGTAATCTGATTCATATACTCCCCCCGCTAATAAAAACTGAGGATTGGCCGGGGCTCGAACCCCAATCGTCCAAGGGAAAGTCTTGGACAATCCTGCTACGCCACACAGGTGCTGGAGAAAATCCAGGATCTAATACGAAAGATCGCTGAGTGAATGAGCCGTGCGGATGTGCGGGACGCTTAAAATGCCTTATATGCAAGTTAATGCAAATGTTTGCCATATGATCTGCTACTCCTGTGCATTTTAGAATTCCTAATTAATGGTAGCTATATGTAACATGTGTAGTTTAAATTTTTGTAATTATACACAGCCTATATATTGCTAATCAAAGTAAAAGTATTCAGAATACAGTGTACACTCGTGTACATAACATCATAACTCAATACTTCAAAAACTCATAAACTTGGTACTTCACTCGGTACTTCAAAAAACTCAGAACTCGGAATACTTCAAAAACTCAGAAAACTCATAAAACATGTTCAGATCTTTCATAAAACTTGTCAACAATCTTCAGTAAAATACCAAACTTCATCAGTCGATGGTGGTTCCAGATATTGCTTTGAAAACAGTCTCTCCCACTTCTCTGTTTTGATTCTTCAGGCTGCATTTGTGCCGAGCCATGATTCTTCTGTGACGTGTCGTTCAATCACACGTTTCAGCTTCAGTGTCCAGATTCAGAAATCCAATTCAGTCCAAATTATGTCCAAATTGCGTAATCCAATTTTTCCAAATGGTGTCCATGCAAAAGAGGACGATGGTATTGTCCATGTCTCAGCAGCTCACAGCCTGACTGGAATCAGGGGCTGTGCAGATTGTCCAAGTGTGCTGGTCCAGATGCATTCTCTTGAGGTTTCTCAGTTTTGGCTTAAAAAAAAACAACACATTTTTGTGTAAAAAAAATAAGTCTTCTGTTCTGTAGATGTTACAGACAAGGCCCGCATCCTCCACCACCTGAAGAAGATGACATGTCTGGGATCGTGTCTTTAATTCCGACAGAAGACATGTTTTATTGTCGATGGTAGAGACAGCACGAACAACAGATACAACAGAATGCAAGTGTATTATACAGAGCGGAGGCATGGAGACCTCCAATCAGCAGCTGCCACAGTGCCATGTAGCTTGGCCTTCAGATAGACAAAACAAGGGAAAAGTACTGGCTTCTGCACATTGATAGAATGATGAGTTTAACTTGAACAAAAGTTGCTTCAAAGTGTTATGAAATCTCACATATCCATGGACATTGAATTTGGTATATCTACACATGTTTTGTGTAGGTAATGGATATGTATGTGATTGGCTGAAAAATCACACGTGGCCAGCCCACGTGGGATTACTCCCCATTGGTAGCTTACTCCCCATTGGATGAAATCACTACTTTCAAATAAGTATAATCTCTCGTGATTGGCTGGCAGATCTGTCACTATTGGTCACCCTGCCTCATAATTAATGTAATAATATTTATATAAATATATATTTATTCATATTATGCTGCATATATTGTATCCTATGTAGGCTACTACACTATTATTAGGCCATCAATGACATGAATGAATTTATAGAGGAAATGAACTGAATGAACTGTTTTATGGCATTAAAACAGCCGTTTTAATGCCATACACACACACATATATATATATATGGTGCTACTTTGAACCGAGAATATAACACATATTTTCAGTTGGTTCATACTTTTTCTTTTAGGTATGTACATAATTCCAGATGAGTTAATTCAGTTTGGATGCCTTCAGTGTGAATCTACAATGTTCATAGTCATGAAAAAAAGACAAAATCCAAACTTTTGGTTTGTACTGTACATACATATATCCTTTGATGAGCACTTACACTTTCAACATGTCTTTTGTCCTATTGGATTTATTTAATTGATTTTGACATGACA